AAGCCCCGCCTGTCGGCGGCCTCCTGCATGCACAAGAGGGAAATTTCGGAACTTTCCAGAAGGAGACAGAGACGAAGTCATGCGCAGCAGTTTGCAAGACCCCCACCACATTGGAAGATTGACCGAGAGAGAAAAGTAATGGGGACTTGACTTCTGAGCTAACACGGAGAGATTCGACTGGATTGAGAACTGAGTTGAACAAAGTACTGGAGGAAATGAGACCGACGCAGGCCACGGAGCGTTGGAACACCACAACTGACCCCTTATTTGACAAAACACGGATATCTGCCTTGGCTGGGTTTTGTGTGAGGTTGGATCCGGCGGATTCACATTGGACACACGGGTCGTAACTGATGTATGGCGAGCCACTCGAGCTGTTTTGTGTACTGAACAGCTTTGAACCATCAAACTGGTAGGAGGATTCCTTTTTCCACGCTCTTGGATAAGCGGGACTTGGACTTGTTGGGATCTGGTTACTTTAATTTTTTTGTTACCACAATGTCTCAAGGGAAGGACCCCGGTTTGGACTTTCCTGGAAGGAAGCAGCAGTTTTGAGTTCAGTCATTCGATCTATGACCTCAGGTTTATTGGCTCAAGCGATTAATTTCCCTTACCCACACTTAACTTAAAGGGAAAGTAATTTAAGTGTGATTGGAGATAACTTGGACCATAATTTTGTATACTGAATTGCTTTTGATTGTTCTTCTGGGTATTCAAAACATTGATTATAGTATTTTGGTTGAACCCAATGTCAACTCCGTTAACTTTATTGAGATGCAGTGTTAATTTGTCATAAGAGATCAGTTTTGTTCTGTGCACATGTTTATGGAAATGCATCTCTATTTTGAGTTGCAAGAGCGCAAACAAAAGTGAATGTTATACTAATTACCATTTAATCAACTCTTTACTTTATATAAATCAGAAAAAAGCAACAAGACTTCTCCGGTTATTCACTCATTTGCACTGCCCTCCTCTCTCTAGTAGCCGCTCCTCTCTTCTGATCAATTTGCCCATACTGGATGG